CAGCAGCAGCCGCTGCAGCAGCCGCAGCTGTACTCGAACTAGCGGCCGTTGTGGATGACGAAGTGGCCGTGGCGGGTGTATTAACGCCTCCGGCGCTGGCAGCCGCTGCGGCAACAGCCGCTGCCTGGTGCAAATGAGCGGCCTCACCACCAGTTACTCCAAGATAGTGCCCGAGCATAGAAGCTGCTGCTGCCGCTGGTGTAGTGGTAGCTGTAGCTGCAGCCGCAGCAGCCTTAGTTAGCTGGGCGGCTGCTGCTGCTGCTGTCAACGCAGTCACAGCTGCAGCCGAACAAAGACAGCCTGAGCCCGGTATTCTGCCACAATTGGCGCACACAGCTGCTGCGTGTTGAGTTTGAATTTGTTGGCCAGCCTGCAGCTGCTGCTGATGTTGATTTTGAGTGACTTGCTGTTGTGCTGCCTGTTGTTGTTGTTGCAAAAATACGGCATCCACGTGCCGCTGGTGTGCTGAGGGTGATTGTTGGCGAACGGCAAGCTGTTGTTGAGCCTGCTGTTGCTGAGCGAATTGCTGTTGCTGCTGCTGCGTTTGCTGAGCATAGACAAAGCTAGCCTGGTGCTGAGCCGGCTGAAGCTGGGCTTGCTGCTGCAGATGTGACTGCGTAGCAGAGGCGAAAGCCTGTTGACCGGAAAGCTGTTGCTGCTGGTGATGGGCTTGAAGAGCTGTAACTTGTGATTGTGGCTGAGGTTGCTGCTGCTGGGTATGCGTTGGTGACCTGTGCTGTTGATGAAAAAGACTGGATGGAGAAAGAGCGGAAGCAGCAGTGGTTTGTTGTGTCTGCTGGACTTCACGATGTTGTTGTGATTGATGTTGTCCAAGAAGAGTAGCACTGTACGCAGCGGAAGAAGGCGAAGTTACCGTCTGTTGCGCTTGGGCCTGATGCAAATGCTGCTGTAAAGAATGATGTTGATGGTGCTGCTGAATGGGAGTAATGTTGTGAGATTGATGATCTTGGATGCCTTGTTGACGGTGTTGCTGTTGCCCTTGCAAATGAGTTGCAGTCATAGCAGCCGCAGCAGCTGCAGCCACACCGACTAGTTGCTCTTCTGTAGTCCGTGAATGACGCACAACAGCTGAATCGTCAGGGCCAGCAGTGCCA